TATCAAGATCCATTATTTTTCGAAGAAGAGTTTTTCAAGGAACAAGGAAGGCGTCGATTTCCCAAAAATATTTTTTCAAAGACCAGCCAATGCGTGAATTTATTAAAAAATACAATACAGCGCTTAGATATTTTGAAAAATAGTTCTTCAATAACCAACCATGGCGTAAATTTTTTAAAAATTATTTTTTTAATGACCAGCCATTACGTGGATTTGTATAAATTTTCTTTTTCAAAAACGAGCCATGGCATAGATTTATTTAACATATTTTTCTCAAAAATAAGCTGAGACGTGGATTTATTAACTATTTTTTTACGGAACAGTCAAGGCGTGGATTATTTAAAAATGTTTTTCAAGAACCAGCCACGGCAAGCATTTAGAAAAAGATATATATTTTCATGGACAAGCCTTGACCTCGATTTTTTGAAAAATATCTTTCAAGGACTAGGCGAGGCGTTTAATTTTTAATAAATATTTTTTCAAGAGCCAGTCATGGCGTGGTTTAAAAAAAATCCACGGACAAGCCTTGACCTAGATTTTTTGAAAAATATTTTTCAAGGACTAGGCGAGGCGTTTAATTTTTAAAGAAATATTTTTTCAAGGACCAGTCAAGGCGTGGAGATTCCAAAAATATTTTTTCAGGGTGTTTACTTCTTTAAGGATAAGCCTAGGCGTGGATTTTTTAAAGAATATTTTTTCAAGGACTAGTCAAAGCGTGGATTTTTTAAAAATATATTTTTTAAAGGAACAGCAAAGGCCTGCATTTTTAAACAGATTTTTAAAGGAACAGCCAAGCCGTGGACGTTTTTAAAAAATATTTTTTCAGGGAACAGCAAAGGCCTGCGTTTTTAAACATATTTTTACAAGGACCAGCCAAGGCGTAGATTAAAAAAAAAAAATTTTTTGGACCTTTTAAAAAAATATTTTTTCAAAGACCATCCAAGGCGTGGACTTTTAAAAAAAAAATATTTTTTTCAAAAATCAGCCAAGGCGAGCAGCTATTAAAGAATATTTTTTTCAAGGACGAGTCAAGGAGTGGATGTTTAAAAAAATATGTTTTTAAGGACCAGCCAAGACGAGCAGCTATTAAAGAATATTTTTTCAAGGACGAGCCAAGGAGTGGATGATTAAAAAAAATATGTTTTTAAGGACCAGCCAAGGCGTGGATGTTTAAAAAAATACTTTTTAAGAGCCAGCCAAGGATCTGCCAAGGACCTGCCAAGTCGAGAAGTTGAATTAATTGGTCCTTGAAAAAATATTTTTTCAAGGGCCAATTAAGGCCTGGATTTTTTAAAGAATATTTTTTTTAAGGACCAGCCCTGTGTGGATTTTTTAAAAAATATTTTTTAAGGACCAGCCCGTGCGAGGATTTTTAAAAAATATTTTTTCAAGAACAATTCGAGGGTGGTTTTTAAAAGAAAATGTAGGGACCAGCCAAGGTATGCACTTATTAAAGAATATTTTTTTAGGGACCAACCAACACTTAGATTTAAAAAATATACTTCTTAAAGGACCAGCAAACACCTAGATATTTTAAAAATCATTTTTCAAGGACCAGGACTTTAAAGGAATATACAGAGCTACAAACCTGTTTTTTTAGGTATTCTCTTTTTAAGGATACAACGACATACAAACGTGAATTTCTTTAAAGTTTTCCCAAGGATCAACTGAAGTACAACCATGTTGTATTTTCAAGGATGGATTAAAAACGAGATGTCCAAGAACACCTATGAAAGCGATCAATTAAAAGATTTTTTCAAGGACAATTTTTATGCCTGTCAAAAAGTCTATCAATGTGTTGCCTTATAGGTTTTTCAAAGAATGTTTTTGAAGGACTATTTTTTAGAATACAGACTAATTTTAGTAATACAGGACAAATAAAGATGCTACATTCAGGAAACTCCTACAATTATAGAGAGTTAGTAAGATAGTTTAGTCTAATTGTTAAGTAACTAAAAATCACCTGACAGGGACCACAGAAAGGTGTCTCAGATCTAAGAAGAGACATCGGCAATTTCTTTGGGAGGGAAAAACTCCCACACTCAAAAAAGATGCCGATAATGACATCAATACTAAATCAATTAGTAGATGTCACCATGAGAAAAATTCTTTTATAAAAGAACAACTTTTAACTAAAAATTTCCAACACAAGGGAACAAAAGATGTTTTAAACCAAATTTTTCTTTAGAAGAAACGAATAACATTAATTGATTTTAAGCAGAACACAAAAAGCAAGATCGGCTTAGTCTGAAAAGAAAAAAAAACATGCGACAGGACAATGACCAAAATGTGAAGTGGGAGTGTCCACTAATATTTGTCAGCATCAGTTAGACAATTGCAATTGTTATTCTTTTGGCGAACTGTTGTCACTCAGTGTTTGCTGGTAACACCTTTCTCATTACCAATTAATGACAAATTTCTTAGTTTTAAGCCTTAGCAGCTACTGCATGTGAAAGGCCAAGGCGGCATCCTAAAGTAAGACAATTGCACAAAGTACAGCGGGATTTTAAAAAAAAGGACACAATAGCCGAACTGCGCCTTCTTCTTGTGTCTTGGAGAGCGTATAACGAATCATGTCGAGTATAACAATTGTTTCGGGAAACTGCCAGAAAAAATGCAATGTGCATTGCATTGTATGGTACATTTTATGCGTGTACAGGTGATATAGTCGCCCATTTAACTTCGGGGTGGCAAAAATATGCAGTTTAAATGGAAAGAACTATCATTAGATTTAAATTATAATAACAAAGAGATATACAAAAAAAAAATTTCTAAAAAAATCTATATTGATGGCTCTGATAATCCTTCTTAAAAAATCCAAGTTTTAGATACTACTTGAAAAAAATTTTTTTAAAATATCCACGACATAGATAGTTTTTGAAAAAAAAAAATTGTTTAAAATATCCACGTCATAGATAGTTTTTGAAAAAAAAATTCTTTAAAATATCCACGTCATAGATAGTTTTTGAAAAAAAAAATCTTTAAAATATCCACGTTTTGGCTGGTCATTAAAAAAAAAATACTCTTTAAAAATCCACGTTTCCGATAATCCTTGAAAAAATTTGTTTTTTTAAAAAATCCACGTTTCCGATAATCCTTGAAAAAATATATTTTTTAAGAAATCCACGTTTCTGATGGTCCTTAATTTATTTTTTTTTAAAATACACGTTTCCGATAATCCTTGAAAAAATATATTTTTTAGAAAATCCACGTTTCTGATGGTCTTTGAAAAATGTTCTTTGAAATATCCACGTTTCAGATGGTCCTTGAAAAAATATATTTTTTAAAAAACCCACGTTTCCGATAATCCTTGAAAAAATATATTTTTTAAAAAATCCACGTTTCTGATGGTCTTTGAAAAATGTTCTTTGAAATATCCACGTTTCTGATGGTCTTTGAAAAATGTTCTTTGAAATATCTACGTTTCTGATGGTCCTTAAAAAAATATTCTTTAACAAATCCACGTTTCTGATAGTCTTTAAAAAATATTCTTTAAAAAATCCACGTTTCTGATAGTCTTTAAAAAAAAAATCTTTAAAAATTATTCTTTAACAAATCCACGCATTGGCTGGTCCTTGAAAAAATATTTTTTAAAAAACCCACGTTTCTGATGATATTTGAAAAAATATTCTTTGTTCCTTGTCCTTAAAAAATATTTTTTAAAAAACCCACGTTTCTGATGATATTTGAAAAAATATTCTTTGTTTCTTGTCCTTAAAAAATATTTTTTAAAAAACCCATGTTTCTGATAGTCGTTGAAAAAATATTCTTTGGTCCTTGTCCTTAAAAAATGTTTTTTTTTTTAAAAAATCCACGTTTCTGATGGTCTTTGAATAAATATTCTTTGGTCCTTGTCCTTAAAAAATATTTTTTTAAAAAACCCACGTTTCTGATGGTTCTTGAAAAAATATTCTTTAAAAAATACACGCATTGGTTGGTCCTTGAAAAAATATTCCTTAGAAAGTTTCGCCATGGCTGGTCCTTGAAAAAATATTCTTTAAAAAATCCACACATTGGTTGGTCCTTGAAAAAATATTCCTTAGAAATTTACGCCATGGCTGGTCCTTGAAAAAATATTCCTTAGAAATTTACGCCATGGCTGGTCCTTGAAAAAATATTCTTTAAAAATCCACGCCTTGGCTGGTCCTTGAAAAAATATTCTTTAAAAATCCACGACTTGGCTGGTCCTTGAAAAAATATTCTTTAAAAAATCCACGTTTCTGATGGTCTTTGAAAAAATATTCTTTAAAAAATCCCCGCCTTGGCTGGTCCTTAAAAAATATTCTTAAAAAATCGACGCCTAGACTGGTCTTTGAAAAAACGTTATTTAAAAAATCCACGCCTTGGCTGGACTTTGAAAAAATATTCAATAAAAAATCGACGCCTTGGCAATACCTTGAAAAAATGTTATTAAAAAGTCCACGTTGTAGGTAAAATTCATCAAAATTAGTTTCCTCAAAAAAATTTTCTCTACAAAATCTGGTGTTTAAAAATATGGTTAATATATCCGCTTAGTTAATAGTCAAATATATTTAAATAAAACTGTTATTTTTTCACTAGTAGGTCTTATTTTTAACATAACCTTACCTAACGAAAACATATGTTTAAATTTAAATCCACACCCCTGCAATGACTCAAAATCATTGAACCACAACAAATTACAAGTGTTTTTTTAGATGTTGGTCTAAATGTGTGAGCAATCACTAGCAAGTGGTAGAATGGTTTAAAACATATGCCTCTATAATATGGTTAGGAAAATCAGTTCTGTTTTATTTTCGATTGGCGATATCTCCCATTTGGAATCAGACAAATCAAACAAAACACATTTCAAATTCAAAAGCTTCAGTTGTCCAAAAATTATGAAAAATGTGAATATAAAAACCAAAGTCAATTCAAATCGAATCAGTTAGAATACATTGAGCCATTGTTGGAAAAACAACACATTCTGAAAAATATTGAACGAAATAAAAACTATTTGTTTATTATTTTTTTTTTTTGCCGCACAACAAGTGAAGCGTTTGAAAAAAATGAGTTTAAAATTTTCTGGTCTATTGGTTTTGGGGTCACTGCTATTGTCATCAGCGTTGGGGTCAATTATAAATGTGACCTCGGCCGCGGAGAGCCCAACTAAACTAAATTCCACCACCTCCGCCAATGTGACAGTGGACAATACAATTTTCAAATTGCCCAGTGAAATTGACGAGGATGAGCTGTTGCATGAAACCGGTCTCTTTATGCAGAGTCTTATGAATTTGGATGTGGATCCCTGTGAGAATTTCTATGAATTTGCCTGTGGTAATTGGAGGACAAGCGAGCGGGTGCCATCTTCGGGTCGTAAGGATTCCATGCTAAGGGTTATACAAAGTGAAATTAACGATTTGATTGTGGCCTTTTTGAAAAATAATACCAAGGAGGGGAAGAGTGCCGAGGGAAAGGCCAAAATATTTTATGCATCCTGTGTGACGGGCGGCAAGGATATCAATGTGGGTCTGAAGACCATGCTGGACAATGAAAAGGAGAATTTTGGAAAACTGAAATTGACTGGAAAGAATGATTGGATTCCGGTGAATTTTATGTCCCCCTATACCGTTTTCCCCCTTCTACCCTTGAGTGTGAACTACAGTACCTTTAGTCGGCAGTTTGAGATTTCCATTAACCGGCCAATTGCCGCCTTAAAATCTTTCTACAATACCTCTCAGGCCGAGGAATTGTTGCAGAAGATGGGTCAAGTGGTCTCGGAATTTAAAACCATGTTGGAGTTCGAAAAGAATTTGACATCCAAGGTACCTACCAAGGATTTTGCCGAAAGGATGCCACTGCAGGATTTTTTGGTTCAGCATCAAAAGGATCCCATTGATTGGAATTTGATTTTCAAAACTGCCTTTGGAGACAATACCCAAAGGGAATGGTATGTTAACAATCAAATATCCAATTTCACCGACTTGGAAAGATTCCTAAGGAAATCGCCCACAGAAAATCTGCGTAATTATGTAAAATGGCGTACCCTGGTAAAGTTCTACAAGATCTGGAAAACAGAGTTACCCAACGATGAGAAGCGGGAACAAGTTTGCCGTCAACACACCGAATCCTATTTCACCTATGGCATATTACCCTGGTTCATTGAATATCTCTACGATGCCGAGCGACGTGAGGACTCTCTACTCATTGCCCAAACCATTCTGCAGGGCTTCCTAAACATGACCGAAAATTATGGGTGGTTAGATGAGGATACCAAATCGGAAATTGCTTCGAAACTCCAGGCCATGGACATTATGGTGGGCTATAAGGATGATATGCGTCATCGCCAGATGGGTGATCAAATTTACAATGACTTGGAAATCAATGGAGATTGGTTCAAGAATTTGCTAACTCTGGAAGCCAATCATGCCCGCATTAGACTACATTCCGTTCACAAGACTGTGGTGCCACCCATTCTCTCGCCCTTCAGTGTCAATGCCTTCTATGCCGATTACATCAACACCGCCTTTGTGACCATGGGTATCTCCCAGATGCCTCTCTATCACACCCGTTTCCCTGCCTCCCTCAAGTATGGGGGCCTTGGAATGTTGATAGGCCACGAAATGGCCCATGCCCTGGACTCGAATGGCTATCATGTGAATTATGAGGGTAAACCCTACAATTGGTCTTCATCCTCTCTAAGGCACTTCCAACAGAAAATTCGCTGCCTGGAAAATCAATATAACAAGTTTATTTATCATGGCATACAAACGAATGGCTCAGCCACAATGCCGGATAATATTGCTGACAATGCTGGGACCCGTTTGGCCCATCATTCCTATATGGATTTATATGGGCGCAATGAGGGCCTGGAGAAGCCGTTACCAGGTCTGGAGTTTACCAACAATGAATTATTTTTCATTAAAATGGCCCAGACATGGTGTTCGGGGAGGGATGATTCTTATAAACTGCTACATATGAAGACCGATGCCCATGCCTATGCGGAGTTTAGGGTATTGGGGCCTCTGCGTAACATGCCGGAATTTTCCGAAACATTCCAATGTAAATTGGGCTCACAAATGAATCCCCTCAAGAAATGTGTTGTGTGGTAACATTTTCATCAATCAGAGAAACAATTTTGTAATCAATATTTATCGCATACATACCTATAACCAAATATATATATGTACAAGGAAATAAATAAATTTTAAAATAAGAAAATATTGCAAAAAAACATATTAACAAAGAAATAAATATTTAAAAAAAAAATATCAATATATCAATAACATGGCGTGGATTTGTTAAAGAATATATTTTCAAGGACTATCAGAAACAAAGATCTTTTACAGAATACTTTTTCAAGAACTATCAGAAACAAGGATTTTGTTAAGAATATTTTGAAAGGACCATCAGAAACGTGGATTTTTTAAGGAATTTTTTTTTAAAAAACTATCGGAAACGTGAGTTTTTTTAAAGAATATTTTTTCAAGGACTATCAGCAGGGTTGATTTTTTAAATAATTTTTTTAACAGCCTATCCGAAACGTGGATTTTTTAAAAAAATATTTCTTCAAAGACTATCAGAAACGCGGATTTTTTAAAGAATATTTTTTCAAGAACTATCAGCCGGCTTGATTTTTTTAAAGAATATTTTTAACAGCCTATCAGAAATGTGGATTTTTTAAATAATATATTTTTAAGAACTATCAGAACCTTGGATTTTTTAAAAAATATTTTTTCAAGGACTATCTACAAAGTGGATTTTTTAAAGAATATTTTTTCTAGGACTATCAGAAACGTGGATTTCTTAAAAAATATATTTTTTCAGGGACTACCAGAAACGTGGATTTCTTAAAAAATATTTTTTCAAGGACTACCAGAAACGTGGATTTCTTAAAAAAAATATTTTTTCCAGGACTACCAGAAACGTGGATTTCTTAAAAAAATATTTTTTCAAGGACTATCAGAAGCGTGGATTTTTTAAAATTACTTTTTCAAGAACTTTCAGAAACGTAGATTTTTAAAAGTATATTATTTAAGGACTGCAAAAAACGTGGATTTTTAAAAGAATATTTTTTAAGGACTACCAGATATGTGGATTTTCAAAAGAATATTTTTTCAAGGACTACCAGATACGTGGATTTTCAAAAGAATATTTTTTCAAGGACTACCAGAAACGTGGATTTCTTAAAAAAATATTTTTCCAGGACTACCAGAAACGTGGATTTCTTAAAAAAATATATTTTTTAAGAACTACCAGAAACGTGGATTTTTAACAAAGACCAACCAAGGCATAAATTTATTAAAAAATATTTTTTCAAGGACTATTAACAATTTGAGTTAAGAGAATATATGGAGGGCTCACTGCTATACCGAACCAAGTCATGAAAAATAAAAAATGCCGAAACTAGTGCCAATGTCCCCGCATATGGCAACTCTGTTTACTCTGTAAAGCACAATGTTAAAAAGTGTTTCGTTCCAAAGATAACGTTAAAAAACCTAAGTCCACGACTGTCATTTTCGTTTTTATTCAAAGCAAAAATGAACCAAGTCAGTGTGTTTCACTTTGAATCAGCGTATATATAGATATCAGCAATGATTCAATGTCGATTTAGTGATGTCCATCCATCTGTCTGTCCATCTGTGGAAATCACTCTTGCTTCCGAGGCGTTTGTAGTAGGTTGATAAAATTTACTCAGATGTGTGTTTGGTCTACAGGGCTTTTGGTATTGGAAATGATCGGTATTTTGATGATTTTAATGACATTATTCACCAATTTTTTTCATATTTCGTATTCGGTATTATGATGTTTTTGCGATATTATTTACCGGATTTTTTCAAGTTTCCTATTTGAATATTGTAATGGACTATGACAAAACTTGGCTGTGCAGGTCCACATTTTCGTATATACCCCCATATTACGATAACTCTCTATATTCGGTATTTTAATGATTTTTAAAGGTATTTTTTAATATCCAAATCCTTTCCAAATGGTAGAGGGTATTCAAAGCTCGGCCCGACCGAACTTACTGCTTTTTTATTTGATATTATTTTTCCTAATACACATTAAATATTAGTATGGGCACAATTACAAGAAAATCGTACATTATTCCATATTCATCTCATGTTTCTGGTTGAGAGAAATATTTAGATATAGCATAAATAATCATCGACTTGTTTCGCAAGTTATGACAGATAAAGGCATTGAAAATTGTGACCCCTTGTGGGTGATGCACCGGAAGGGGTTCGCAGATTTATTCCATCTTCACAACAAATATTGTGTTAGCGAAAATGTTTGTATGTGTGAAATCTAAAGGGAGTTGGATGATTATTTCGTTTTCTTTCAGTTTTGTTTTTCAAAATCTTGAACCCTGTGTGGGAAGGTACCAGAAGAAATGGTCCGATCTCTACCATCTTTATAACAGATCTTGTGTTGAAGGAAATTTTTAAATGTACCCAATCTGAATGAAATCGAATAATATCGCGTCTTATGAGCTTCATGGATATTCAAAATGTTGACCCTTTGTGGGGATGATACCAGAGGTAGTGGAGCGATATATTCCATATTCACAGCAGAGCGTGGGTTAATAAAAATATTCTGATCTGTGTAATTTGAACACAATCGGAAAATTTCATCACATTTTATAAGAGTTATAATTATTCAACATTTTTACCCTTTGTGGGGGAGGTACTTGTTGGAATGGACCACTGGAGCACTGACCGAATAAGGATAACTTTCGTATATGTGATGAACTTAACATGAAAATAAAATTCGATGAAGACGAAAATACAAATTTAATTTGGCAAAAGGAACTTCACATAAAAGCAGCACAGCTAGCTCGAGACTCACTGAATACAGAAGTGCCATCTGATGAGCACTATTTCTGTACTTTCGACATTCAAAAAGCATTGCCTTTTCCAAAGCTATCAACATCAGTTGCTTATTACAAGCGGAACATCAACTATATTTAGTAATAAAATGAACAATTTATTTATTTTTTTGACTTGGTTCGCTTTAGCTGTAAAACCTTCAAATTTTATTCAGAGTAATAACGAACCAAAGCAGGTTTTTTGTTTTTGAATATTTTTTTAGTAATATATTTAAATTATTTTTCTTTTAACTTTATATCATTAGTTAATTTTGAATATAGACTTTTACATTTTCTTTTGGTAGACTAAAATATTGCTTCCAGAAATTAATTGCAGTACATTTACTTTACCTCTAAATATCTTGGAATTATGTTTTTATGACTTAGTTCGGTATAGCTGTGAGCCCTTCATATTAAGAATATTTTTAAGGACTTCCAACATTTTGCATTTTAAGAAAAATATTTTAAAGGACTATTTTCAAATCGAAAGGACACCGTATCCAATTTCCAGCAAATCCTTAATAAAAATGGTATTTCCCTTTTTTCACATGCATAAAAAATCACCTTTTATTGCTCCACATTTCAACAAGAATGCCCTCTCGATGAATGTCAATGACAAATGAAATGGAAAACCCTGGAAACTTGTCAACTCATTTCCAAAATAGTTTTCATAAAAAATGCATCTGCTTACGGAAAAAAGAGTTGATGATCTTTGATCCTCGCCTTCTACTTGGGTAACACTTTCGGCACGCGCTCAGGGATTTGCTTACAATTTCCGGCTATTGGCATTCGTCCTTTTGAGCGACAATCCTTTCGTTGAGGCAAATCACGACTATGTCAATGCGAATAGTGGTGGTGACATAACAAACAAATGATTAATAAACAAATCCTTTCGTTTTTTTAACGACTCTGAATGCCAAATGGAAGGGGTAACCCTTTCTTGCCTCTGCCCCCTTCCTTTTGTTCGGTTTTTTGGGTAGGAAGTTAAATGTTTTCTTATTACTTATTAGATCATTATTTAGATGATGTTTTGACGATGATGAAGGTTTCATGGCTGTTTTTGCATTGCGCGTGCCAGCCACACTCCTTCTTCCGGCGGGCTGAAGTGGTTTTACTCGCTTTTTCTTCGTCTCGTCTTGTTTTTTGCCATCTTCCGCACATTCCATCTTTTATGGACGAGCAACAAAAAAAAGGTGTTAAAGGGTTAGGCGACCGAATGCCTTTGCGCTTGGGTTAAAGGGTGAACGAATCGATTATGCTCGAAATGGGTGTTAAATGTTAAGTAATATTTCCGTAAACGTTCGCAATGCCATGCTAAACTTGTTAAGGCAATTTTTGAGGAGAGGAAAACGGGGGAGAAATGTATAAGGCAAGCTGTTGACTTGGAAAAAGAAATCAGAAAAAAACGTTTGCACTGACCATTGACAAAAGAACACGTGTGTGAGTTTTTTGTGAGAGGGGTAATTTGTTATTTAGAACGGATTTTCACTACAGAAAAAAATATATATAATATATTTTTATAAGCAAGTGGTTTTTTGATCAAGAACTGATTTCTATAGAAAATTACAGGCCCCTACGATCAAAGTAGTAATTGTAGGGGAAAAATTCCTGGGTTATGAAGAAAGGTTTTTGAAGGACTAGGCGAGCCAAGAAGGTTTTTTAAACACTTTTTTAAGGATTAAAGGATTAAAACTTTTCAAGGACTAGCAGAGTTATCCACTCAGAATTTTTACAAATATCTTGCAAACTTTAAAAAGATATCAACATAGATTTTTAATAGAATATTTCAATACAGAGTCCGTAAGTTAAATTTTTATAGAATATTTTTTTATGGACTTTAAGAGATTTTAAGGCGGATTTTTAATGAATTTGAGAGGATTTGAAGATCCTTCCAGGAGGAATTTTTGTGCAATATATAAAAGAGCCACCAATGTGGAAAAAAGTATTTTTCAAAGACAAACAGGGCCACAAACGCGTGTTTTTAACGAACCTATTGTCCCGAATTTTTTTTTTTTTTGAATATTTTTTTTTAAGTTCCAATTAAGCCTGGAATGTGTATTATTTGAAGAATAGTTTTCAAGGACAAAAAGCGACACAAACGTGGATTTTTTAACAAATATAATTTTAAGGACTCACCGACCTAGCAACGAGGTTTCTTTGTGGAATTTTTTGTAAGGATTCACCAGCCCACAAACGATGATTTTTTTGTAACCTTGACTTATTAAAGAGTATTTTCAAGGACAC